GCAGTTGAGCTCAGAAAACAAAACTCATACCTATTTGTTGTTTTCTCTGCTGTACTGCTGACGGCCGTGGAATTACCATTGTCGAGGTCGAACGAACGATCGGTCGCTCCGGAGAACAAGAAGAGGAGAGGCTACAACTACGGAGGAGACTGTTAACTCCAGCCCTACCAACTACCAACAGTCTGAACGGATCGTCGTCGAGTCATTGAACGGCGACAGTCAAACGGAGGAGGAGGCTACACAACAACACACAAGAGAGTGGATCCTACTACTGGATTCACCCCTCCATTGTTATTTCATAGTGTTTTGGTGGTGATTCCTTTGCTGGTACCCATTTTCCCGTGAAACAGTGCTTGTGGAGGTGGATTGAACAATATTCATAATGTTCGGTTGTGATGTATTCGTCATTAAGGATCCAATGCAAGATACCGGCAACGGAGTATAGCCAGCAAAGCGGAACCTGAGTTGTGTTGGGTACTGTTGACACTGTTGCCGATGTAACTGTACGGTACCGGCTACTGGCTGGATTAACACACTATCGGTTTTGGTGATGTTTTCGTCATATACGCAACTGCGCGCTAGTCTCAGTGCGATAACGGACCAACAGCCAATTCGGTACTGTTTGCCACCTGTCGTCGATGCGCTATACTCCGCCAGCCGGCTGCATGGCTGGCAATTCATAATGATATCCGGTTTGTGCATGGATTCGTCATAAGGATTCAATCAAGATACCGGCACCGGAGTGTAGCGAGCACAGGCCGGACGCTGAGTGTGTTTCAGTACTGTTGCCTACCACTGTTGCGTCGTGTAACTGTCCGGTAGCCGGCTACAATGGCTGGTTAACAACTATTCGGTTTGTGCATATTCGTCATAAATCCATGCGATCCTGGGTACCGGTTAACCATAGGAGCTAAGCCGAACTTTCGGTACTGTTGCCACTGTTCGTTGTGTAGCTATACTGCAGCCGCTACAATGGCGGATTCATAATGTTCGGTTTCGCTGGATTCGCTTCCCAAACACACAAAATCCAACATGCAAATACCGGCAACGGAGTGTGCCAGCAAAGCGGATCTGATGTGTTCGTACTGTTGTCCTTCGCGATGTAACTGTTACGGTAGAACTGTAGCGGCTACAAGGCTGGATTAACAATATTTGGTTTTGTGCATGTATTCTGTCACAAGGATCCAATGCAAGAGTACCGTGCTGCAGCGAGGAAATTGAACCTGAGTGTTTCGTCTTGCTGTACTGATCGATTGCTACTCTACGGTAGCGGCTACATGGCTGGATTGACATGTTCGAGTTGTGCATGGATTCGTCATAAGGATCCAATGAAAGTACCGGTAACGGAGTGTAGCCAGTAAAGCGGAACCTGAGTGCCACTGTCACGGATCGATGTAACTCTCTGCCTACGGTATCGTAGATTGGGTGTATTCGTCATATGGATCCAAGTAGCCAGCAAACTGAGGAAACAGGAGACGAATGCTGAAAAAAAGCCGAATTTATATGGGGGTAATACGGATTCCTATAAATATACTAGAGAATATAAATATAGGGTTAGGGTAAGACTCAGGGGGGAACATCGAAATTCCATAAATATACTGGAGAATATAAATATACGTTTATAAATATAATCGCGAACACACTTGTGGTTAGCTATCTACTAAGCTATGTGCTGGTACTGGTACCGGTACCGGCAACAATGGCATACATGTATTAGCACCGGTACCGGTAGGGTCAGCTACTCCAGTAAGGAATACAGGGGTAGACGAAATAAGTTTAGGTCCATTTTTAAAAATTAAGTTGCCATCGCTGAACTGCAATTGAGGCCGTCAAAGGCAATCTTTGCACTATGCCCGGCCTGGAATTCAAGCCCATTGGCTGTGAGCTGCGAGAAAGTGCTACCTGTACATGTAAAATACTGGTATGCTTTCCATGGTGTTCCTCCGATGCAACTCGCGACCTCTCCTACCGGTCTGGGCCCCTCGCCATGCACTCAAAATCAAAAAAGAGTGAAGCAGCTACGGGGAAACAATGTAGCAAACTCCACACGTTCTGGGGCAATGCGTTGACTGCTCCACATAAGAGCAGACATGCCGATAGTGATACATGTGTTCTGCAAGCCAGCTGCAAGGTTTTGTACCCACAAACGGATCAATAGTGATGTCCCCGGCCTTGTCGTCGCATTGCGGCCGCTCCGCATTCACCGTTGACTTTAGCTTGTACCGAACCTTGCCATTCCAAGTGTACCCTGGATACGCCTTGCCTGTTGAGTAGGTGACAGCGCGGCCCATACCAACCTTCAGCTCGGGGTTGCTGAACGTGATGTCTTCTCTCGCTGATGGAGTCGGCTCCATCACAAGTTCCGGCGTGTCTAGAGTAACATAGAGAGTCTGGCGCTGACCTGCGGCGACCTCTACTTGGGTGAAAGCTTTAGCCGGGATTCGTGTTGACAACCCTTGTCCCTGTCCCGTGACTCTTGTGTCGCAGACGGTTGTCCAGTCTTCGGTTTCGCTGGCTCTCGTTTTGACTTGAACTGTGTAGTTTGTTGACAGCCAGGTATGGATGTCCAGGCTAGTGATTAGCAAGTCTTCTTCTGCTGAAACTTCAAACATTATGCCATCCCAGCGGAAGGCGCCTTCAAAGTTACCAACCTCTGCGTAAAGGCTTGGACCCGGAGCTAGTGGTCAGTGCATGGGAGTGAAGTGAGGTGATGAACTTATCAAGAAGCGATGCCAGTTAGTTGGGCGAAACCCATGATTTCACTCACCATCGAAGGTTGTCGGCAGCAGGAGCTTGTCACAAAAATTGCAAGTCTGCTGGCAGCGAGATGCAACATCGATCAATTCACATAAGGAACCGAAGTCGTCGAAGTTCCTTGCCAGCCAGAAGCTTTGGGAGGAGCCGAATCGAATCAACGAGTGAGATTGGAAATGCAACAGCTGCGTGCGGAGTAAAATGTCGTACGTACCACGATTCTACCTCGGTGTCAGAAACGACAACATCACCGCCGGAATCTCGGCAGGTCGGGACAATCGCGGTTTCTTCAACCTCTTTAAAGCACCCCGAGACAACAAGAGAGTAGTCCTGTGTCGAAACCAAATCCTTGGCTTCAACGTGGATTGTGTACGTGTCGCCCTCGCGAGGGTCGTCCACGCGAATCCTTTCTGCGTTGTTCAGCGTGTCAGCCTGAGACAACCCGTTCGGAAAGATTCGCTTGGGATTATTGGTGCTGGTAACATACAAATCGAGGTCGTTCACAGTACACTGCATGCAAAAAGGGCTCACGATTGGGTCGGTCCTTGCATGTGCATGGTCAAGACGTTGAGGTCGTTTCGATTTCGTGTTTGCGCTGTATCTCTTCCCACCTTACTTACCATACGAGGGTGATACTGAGGGGTTCATTGCAGCTGTCCGTCTTGTCAATTTGGAGGACATATTCGTCCTTCCCATGATTTCCAATGGACTGTGCGTTCACGACCTTGGCGTTGAAGTTGTTCTTGCCAGCAATGGGGAGTGACTTGATCAATTCCACTCGACCAAACCCTTGATGAGCGTCGTATGCATGCGTCTCGCTGATGAGATTAGGTGCATCTTCAACCCCCAATAGTTCCTGAGCACCATTGATGAGGACAGCCTTGAGAAGGCTTGCCCTTGGATGGAAGCCCTCTGCCGGGTTTCTTCGCCCCTCTGCTAACCAACCTTCCATAAAGTACTGCCGAATAAGGGTCGCAGCCCCCGCGACCACAGGCGCGGCCATGCTTGTGCCAGATCGCAGCTCGAGTCCATCGGTATCATCACATTCGCCAACCTCGTCAGGATTGGCCTTGGCCGACTTCAAATAGATTCCTGGTGCACACACATCTGGCTTCATTCTCAAGTCAGCCGTGGGACCTCTACTGGAGAAGTTTGCTAGATAGTCAGGACCTTTCATGTGAACTGGGATACGTGGCTGTGTGGATTCTGTTGCACCCACTGGGAGTGCAGCAAAAAGTGTTCAGGCGCAGGCATGCGTTTTTGGACAGCAAATGTACCTTACGCTTTGCTCACTCACCTGCCAATGCATTTTTGCTAATTGCCGGGGTGCCCACCGTGTGAAGGCCGAGGTCTCCGAGATTCCCTAAGCATCCGACAACAAAGAGCAAAAGTTAGCGATGTACTCGCCTGGTCCAGGGTAGCAATGATGTCAATGGCCTTTACCTGCTGCAACCACAAGAAGGAAGTCAGGGTGCTTTGAGATGTAGGCATCCACGGCTTGATCCAAACTAGTGTAATAGTTTGTATCACTCCCCCAGGAAGCAGTGTGCACTCTGGCATTGACATCATATCCGGTTGAGAAAATGTCAAACACATTTGGAGGCAGTTGCAGAGTATTGTAGACAGAATTCCCAATATCAAAAAAAGCGATCTTGGCAGCTTTAGCCACCCCATTTTCACCATCATCAGACTCGGACCTTCCATCAACTGCTCTGTGCCCAGCAAGTGTTGCCGCTACGTGTGTCCCGTGGCCACCCGCGACGTCCTGCGAGTCGGCATAAGCAAGGTACTGTACCACTTTCCGGGGAGATGGATCGAAGGTCTAGTCACGCAGTTAGACCTCAGTATGGCCTGCGTTGATTGGTGGTGGGGTTCAACATGAACATACCTTAGATGTGTCTCTGGGTACAGACTTGAAAGATGGCCAGTGTTAACGCAATCCATGCCGGAAAGGACTGCAGTGAACATTGGTACTCACCTTATCTGGGTCCCAAAAGTAGCAATGGTCCACATCAAGCCCACTGTCAGATATTGCTACAATTTGATCTCTCCCATCAAGCCCGACTTCATGGAAGGGCTTGTCATCCTTGTCCCCGCTCTGGATGATGCCACTGGCGACTGAGTTTCGAGGCTTGACATGCAGCAACGCACCAATGAAGCAGACCTCGGCATGAAGAGCCAAATCAATCAAAAGAGAGTAAGAACACTGCTGGGGAAACTGACTTCTGGCATCATCGGGAAACGTGATTGTGGCGAAATCTTCTCCATCAGTGGGAACACTGAAGCCAACTTTGGACACCATTTCCATACACGATTCATCGGCAAACCCCTCGAGCCGACGGTGCAACCTTGGCTCACTATCATTGTGTCTAGTATTCCTCGATTGGAGGAACTCTTCAAGTCGGCGGCTCCTTCTGTCTTCATTCGTGAGACTTCCCAGGAGTGTCTCGCGAGTTAACTTGCTTCCTCCTCGGCAAAAGACAGCCTGAACGCCTTTTATCGGGGCCTCATGGTCTTCGAGGATGTCAAACAGACCCTGTTGCAACTTCATCTCTGGAAACATTGGGATCGATTGCATACCCCTGGGCAACTTCCTAACCTCTGACGGCAACGCTTCAAGTGCAAAGCAGGACATGTCTCGCCTATTGTACACGGTCTGTGTGTGGCAGTACGGTTTGACGACGAGAGGGCGTGAGCAAGCGTTGTTCAGTGCCCGTATGTGTACTTGTCCGCGTCAATCTTACAATCATCGTTTCACCCAACACCGCTGCAATATCCTTCTTCGCGTCTTCGCCTCGTTTTCCGATCACTGCATCGCAGATCAAGAATGAACTTGCCCCACTGTTTCCTACTACGCCTCGTTTCCTGACTCGATGGTTCTGATCATCTTCTTCCTCTTTCATTTCTGCCGACAGCCAAGCAGATTGTATTGATTCCTGCCATAACTCCTCGGTGGACTTTCCAAGAACTGACTTAGTGGATGCTGTGAATTCTAAGGCAGTCTCGGTCAAAAGAATGGAATTGAACTTCGCCAGAGACAACTGGGGATCTTGCTCGATGCCAACTGGAAATTTTAGGTCAGCGGCAGCGCCACACAACGCGATAGCCGATGCTAAAGATACTAAAGACAGACAGACTGTAGACATCATCAGGTTGGATTATAATGCAAAGAGCAAAAGAAAAATGGCGGAGGAAGGAGGACGCAGGAGCATCGGCAGTGGCTTTGGTTGATCATTCAACATGCTTTTTCACGTTCGGAACGGAATGGGACTCATTCGTGGATACTGATGTGTTACGAATTCTTATGGAGCGGACGCGCTGCCTTTGGTATCGTCTTGGCTCTTGTCTCCTCATGATCAGGTCGATGGTCGAGACGATTGCCTTCCTCATGATCATGGTCGATGGCCGAGACGATTGTGGAAGCATGAAGCCTTGTTGTTGTTCGTTGCGGTCCATACTAGTACCGGTGGTCGTCGACGCTTGCTGGCTGGGTCAATTGTTTTGTTGCTGTGCTGATTAAATCATTTGATTGAATCATTCATCATTCGTGATCGACTTCGCTTCAGCGTGGTGTGGGAGGCTCGTGAATGCGAATACTACTGGTGGTACATGTATGAGCCAGTCACGCCCTTGTGAAGTGACCACCACCAGTGCACCGCACCTGATCGACATTCAAATCTAGCCACCGTAGCTGCTTGCTAGCTATGCATTTACGACACGCTAGATAGCTCTACCGTACCTGGTACAAGCCTTTGTATGCGTTTATGCTACACGGAACTATCTGCGCTTCTTGCCTTGAGGTTTCTGTCGACCAACATCGTTTGATTTCCCCTGACCTCGCTTTTGCTTTTGCTCTAAACGTCTCCTATCTTCTTTCTTCATGTTTTTGATCTTCATGTTTTGCTTCTTTTCGCGTTCCTTCTTGATTTCAACAGCTGATTTGACGGCGCCTTGCTTGCCCTTTGCTTCTCTACTGTTGTACTGCTCACTGGTCGATGGGCCTTCAGAAGAATCGAAGACACCGGTTCTACCGATGCTGCGATTCGTCTTCTTCTGCCACTTGGCATATAGTTCCCCAAGCTTCATTTTTTCGGTCGCCACTAGCTGACCACTTTCGAGCCTCGTTTTCTTGCTTTTGCTCTCGCCCCGCAACTCGTCGCCGACTGTGGTCTGTACATACTTTCGCTTTGACTTGTCCCACCGAGTCATCCTTTGCTTTTGAACCAACTCTTCGTTTTCGTCTCCGACGACGTCAAGCATGGCTTCTTCAATCCTGAAAGCGGCACCGATAATACCTTTCATCCCTGCACTAGGCTGCATCGCTGCTTCAATCTTGCGAGCCCTGTGAGCTTCTTCAGTGTTGGACGTCAGGTCGTTGTCAATGTAGAATGCTGGATCGCGAAAGTCTGTTTGCTGTTTTTTCGGTTTGTTGCTAGTAATACTCGTGGGAGCCTCAGCATTCGAAGTGTTTCCCCCAGATTTCTTGGCCTTTGCTAGCTTTCGTCTCTCCGCCTTGGACAAAAATTTCTTCGGACGACGGATTTCTGGAGTAGAGCCACTCGCCTGGTCAACCTTGTTGCTGCTTTTGTCAACACTCTTTCCACCTGCATCGGATGCGTCCTTATGTTCCGATTCGGCGGGCTCCTCCTCGTCTTGGTTCAGCTTTTGTGCTGTCGAGCTGCCTGCAACAACAAGTGCTGTCCCTTTGCTTCTGACAGTTTTCATCTGACGTCGCATATTCTTCATTGCAAACAGCGCGGCCGTTGAATTGTTTTTCTTGGTATTTGTCGTGCGCCCTCTGTCCACCTGACTGGCAACACCAACATCCTTTCCAACACCAGTGGCGAACGCCTCAAAGACAGTCTCTTTGGGCCGAAATGCAGCAATCTCCTGCAACATGCTCTCATGGTCGTGAAAATTGCTCAAGGTTTGTTCCTTATCCTCGTCGTCTGCGCCTTTAACAGTAGCAAGATACACCTTTTCTTCTGTATCTCGCAATAGAGGGTGGGTGGGAATCCTCCCCTGCCCAATCCGCTGCCCCGACTCCAGGCGCGCTCCTTCCATAATGGCCTTGGCGCGTCGAACGCCATCTTTGGACGCCTCCGGCCGTGTTCTCCGGTACTGTTTCATAGCATTGTTGCATACTCTGGCGAGTGATTGTAACGACTCCGTTTCCAACGACCCAGCCAATTCCGAATTGATGATACGATGGACGTTCTCAACTTCCTGCGTCAGAATGGAAACCGGCAGTGATCCATAATGCACCATTTCAGGAGTCATTTCCTGCAGTGAATACGATAGATTGTCGTTTCCTTCCGGGGCGTTCATTGGTTTTCTCCCAAGAAACAGATGTAAATCGACCATGTAGGGCATTTCTTCCGGGTCCACTAGACCCCAGCAGAATCCAATTCTCCCTGCTCTGGCTGCCCGTCCACTCCTGTGCACAAACAATTTCGCCTCGGGTGGGAAATGATAATGAATAACCTTCCGAACGAGACAAGTAAAAAGCAAACAAAAAAGCAAATTGGTCGTGTGAGCGGTTACGCTGCACGGCGAACCACCACAGAAAGCGAACCAAAGTGCACATACATGATCAATTAAAGGAACATCAATCCCTCTTGCCGCCACATCCGTAACCACCAACACACTCTTCTTCCCCGATCGAAATGCCGATAGGTTTGCTTTTCTGGCATCTTGGTCCAGCGTTCCGTAGATAAGAGTACTTGAAATCCCTGATGCTTGCAACAGACAGTGTATGTACTCGACATGGTGTCGTGTCGCGGCAAAGATAATGGTCAATCCAGTCCGTAAGGCATCGTTGGTTTCCAGATCTTCTTGTATCTGATGCAATACATGCATTAGTGCAGCATCCTTTTCGGAACTCCGACAAGCCAAAAAGGCAATTCGAAGCTCTTCGCTGACACTACATTCGGTGTCCAATCGGACCACTTGCGGGTCGGTACAAAAGCCCGACTTTGTGAATTCCACGAGCACTTTGGGCATGGTGGCACTGAGAATGATCTTTTGGCAGTTTTCGGGCATGGTCCTTCCAATTTGTCGAATCTGTTGTGAAAATCCCATTTCCATACATCGATCTCCTTCGTCCAAGATGCACATTTGACAGTTGGTCAAATCAAAGTCTGGAATTTCCGTCAAGTGGTGTGCCAAACGTCCCGGAGTCGCCACAATAATGTCTGGTTTGGAAGCCAGCATGTCAAACTGTTTTTCCATTCCTTCTCCACCATGAATGCCCACTGCACGAAGGTCGGCAAAATGTGCCAATTTGTGGAGCACTTTTAGGGTTTGCATGCTGAGTTCCCGCGTAGGTGATAAGATGACGGCGCGACAGGAGGATTGTTGCGGTGCTTGTTGATGCCGACTGGCATTTAACTTTAATAGTTTCTCCAATAAGGGCACCAAAAAGGCAATGGTCTTGCCACTGCCAGTTCTGGCCTGAAACATGCATCATCAATCAACAATAAGACAAGCAATCAGTGAAGAGATGAGCAAAAAAGAAAGGTCATCTCTGCATACACTGTAGCACCACTCACCATGACACATGCATCAGCACCAGTCAGAATCACAGGCAATGCTTTTCTCTGGACTGGCGTGGGCATCTATGTGCAAGGGTGACACAGTACGTGAGAATTTGAAAGAAAACAAAAGTTACATTTGATCTCATACAGTACAATTGGTTGATTTTCCTACTCACCCGAAAGCCCATTCGAACAATCCCATGGAACACCGGTTCCGAGAGACCCAAGGCTTTGAATCCATTGCTTGCAGACCCTCCCGATCCCTTCTTCTTGCCACCAGAGTCTCCTGTCATCTTGATTGTCGAACTTTCAAGAAAAAAGTGAACGGAACGAAAATGGTTGGAGGCAGAGGTGATGAGTTTAGTCGCGAATGAATCCATGACTAAGAGAGAAAGAAGCCAAGAGAGCTGTTAAAACCTTTAGAAGGTTATTGTGCTTACCACTTTACTAAAATCACTTGCACAACAACCGACGTTCATGGCCCTCAACAATTCAAGCAACTGCCGCCTCGATCAACTTGCCGTCTGTAGTGCTAACAATAGAAAGCTTGAAAGGTGTGTCGCTGTTGAGAAAGATGTCGTAGAGACCGCAACCTGAAATATACCTTGATGTAGTAGTACCTCACTCTTTGTGTTTCTCTCCCTCTCTCTGTCAGCTCGTTATCAGATACCTTTCTTACGTACCAAAGTAAATCAAGATGGACGCCGAGAAAGTTGCCGAGTTGCGTAAGAAGCGTCAGTTCAAGAAGTTCACCTTCCGTGGTATTGAGCTTGAACAGCTCTTGGACTTGACCAATGATGAGTTGATGGATCTGGTCACCGCACGTGCTCGTCGTCGCATGTCCCGTGGACTCAAGCGAAAGCCCATGGCACTCATCAAGCGTCTGCGACAGGCCAAGAAGGAGGCACCTCCAGGCGAAAAACCACGTGGTATCAAGACCCATCTCCGAAACATGGTCATTGTCCCGGAAATGATCGGATCCATCATTGGTATCTACAATGGAAAAATGTTCTGTGGTGTGGAAATGAAACCCGAAATGATCGGAATGTACCTTGGAGAATTCGCTATTACATACAAACCCGTCAGGCACGGACGACCTGGAGTTTCGGCCGCTCATCAAACTCGTTTCATTCCTCTCTAGAAAAGCAAACAAAAAGTCAAACCAGTGCAAGGGCTCTCTTTTCCTCCCACTCACTGCAGCAAGCAACCTCCCAAAACAGATATTCTAAGCACGTAATAGTACCTCCTTTCCTTGCTCGCTTGACAAGGGGTCAATGCTGTTGTACCTAGCTAGAACTAGAAATAGGGTCGTCAACGCAACCAATTTTAAAATCTGAACAGATAAGAGGCCAAGGCAGGCTATCCAAGGCTTACAGGTAGCAGCTCCTTTTACATGCTGACTAGATAAGGTCCAGTTCTGTTGTACCGCCTCTATCCTGCAGGCAATGGAAACAATGAAACTGTACGCTGTTTTCACCGAAGCTTGGCAGCCCAGGTAGTCTGGTCAACACCGTGGCTCGAGCTCTTGGAACGACGATGTTACAATAGTCTAGCTGTTACAATCTTGTGGCTCATTCTGAGAGAGCGGAGCGAGCTGGATGACAATGCTCCGCTCCGAGGTCTGAACGACGCAGCGTTGGCCCGTGGGCTCTCAATGACATGAACGATTCAATCGAAGAAAGTGCCATCCGAAATTTCATGGGGCTGTGTGTCTTGCTAGCTACTAGCTAGGTTAGAACAAGCTCTCAAATGGAGAGCCAGCTCTAACCATGTATTAGCTCGAAGCACAATGCATCGTGTAAAGAGGATGTGGCTCTCAAAAGCATGCGGTTCTATCTCCAGGTGCAAGGAGCTCCAGCATGGCTTCTTTGTTGGAGAAGCCCGACCGAGACATCTCAAGCCATCAGTGCTACCGCTACGCTGTCTGTGACATACACGTCGAGACCTGCGAGGGGACGAAGCCCAATCTTACAGCAGGAAAAACGAGAGGACTGATTCGCACAAGGGATCGTGACCTATGTTCGGCGTGAGTAGATGCTTGTCAACTGGCTTGGAGTGAAGGTTGGTTCTTATAGCCCATTGGTATGTATACGACTCCCCACAAACACATGACACAAAAGTTATGAACTACAATCCATAGTTGATTTCTTGGGCTCCAACAGCTTCAAAACTCTGCCTGCGTCGAGATGTTGCCACCACCCCGTGCTTCTGCTTCCTCGTTACCAGGGGTGGGCTCGACAACTCTTCGCGGTGATGCATCACTGCCTCCAACAGATCCAGATGAATCATTCAAGTTCAAATGACCAAGAATTTCCTTGGCTTGGTATTCGATTGTGCACATCGGATCAGGCTGGTCCTTGTCTTGAATGGCTTGATCAGATCCACAACAGTAGCTGGGATCTATGACCAATCTTTCCGAATGCGACTTCTGCTTTGTGGACTTGGTCGCCGTTCCTTGCTTCTTGTCGGCGGCCCCCTTCTTCGACGATGTTTTCTGTTTCTTTTTAGTTTCTACTCCTTCGCTCGATTTGCCATGCGCCTGGTTGACACCACAGCTTGGCGCCTGGTTGACACCACAGTTTTGAACCCAGCCTGGCTCGTAGCAGAATGGGAGAACATCTACGCACACAGTGTCAAAGGTGCTTGCCCATCCATCGCATCCATCTTCCTGGCAGGAATGGCAGGGCGCATGAAGCTTCTCCAATGAGGCAGCCACTCCATTGGTCGATGTGGACTTCTTCGCAGATGCAACGGGGGATTTTTTGGATGAAAATGTAGTGTCAAAACTCAGCGTTCCCTTGAACAGCTTGTCCCTTGCAGCCAGGACTAGAGACTCGAGCATCGGGGCAGTATGATGTCTGTCGTCTTTATTTTCCTGAGAAACACGGTAGACGGCCTTCGGTGATGAAGTACGTGATATGGTAACTCCGCTTTTCTCAAACACCGGAATTTCGACTTCACTGTTCAGATTCTCCCAGAATTGCAGGTTCGCCAAGCACTCCTCCTTTGCCTTTTCTGACTTGATCCACTCAGGAGAGTCGGGCTTCACATTTGCACTTACGAGTTCCTGGTGCTGTCTCATCGCCTTGATGTATGTTTCTCTTGCCTTCAGCTCTTTCTCGCCAACATAACAAACATCCTGAGGATCGCCACTCAGAGCAGGGGGTACAGCGGAGATGCTCTTAGGGGATGCAAGAGACGTTCCGCTCAGCACTCTTGGCGTCTCGGCTTGTGGACCGGCATTGAATTCTTCCCTCATTCGTTCCCAATACTCAATCTTTGCAAACCGTTCCTGCAAGATCTGTTGAGACTTCACAACTTCAGGCGATGTTGGACTCATTCCCGACGAGAGGAGAGCCTGATTTTCTTGCAGAGCCTTGATGTAAGCTTCTCTTGCCCTCAGTTCCTGTGCTGCAATGCTTTCTTCTGTCATCAGTTCTTCTGTCATGTTGCCCTCTGTCTCGCCCTCTTTCCATCCATCATTGTGGAAAGATGTCACACGAGTCTTTACCTTATGGGGTGACTCAACCTTGCTGCCGTTGTCAGATGCGACAATATCATCAATGACGCTGGTTCCAGATTCGCCGATCTCACCGTTCTTGCCTTTTTTGTCACCAATCTCATCGTTCTTGTCCTTGTTATCCTCAGATGCACCAATCTCATCCTTTCTGTCACCGCCAGTAGCAGCATTCAAGTCTGTGTTCCCAGCAGCATCTTGTAGCTTCTGAACAGCATCATCCAATGTTTTGACAAGGTCTGTCACCTCTGATGAGGCGCTACCTTCACCTGTAGTCATATCAGAATGAGGAGACGGAGCCTTTGTTCTGCTGTGCTTGCTCTTAATCAAGCTGAAGGTCTTCTTGAATTTTGGTCCCCACTTTGCTTTATGTCTGCTAGATGATCTCCTAGTTTCCGATCCATTCTTACTGTCATTGGCAGATCCCGCAGCCCTCGAAGCATTCGATACAGCAAGCGGGTCATCGGTACCTGCTTCTGGACTTGATGCCTCCTCACCACTAGTGGCAACCTTCCGGTTGCCTTCTGATGAGTCTTCCTCTATCAAGTCGAATGTCCTCATCATGCGAATGGATTTCTCCAGACGGTTCGCAAACTCAGTCAAGGATTCACCACCGGGGCGTGTTGAACTCTCAGACTCTCCGATATTGCCCTGTTCGCTGCCGCCGTCAGTGCCAGTGGGCTTCGACTTGATGGAGGGGTTGCTCGATACTGTAGGACGGTTGGCTTTCAGGGCTAATGCACGAGCTTGCAGGGTGGTACGAAACAAAGATTCACGCATCGCCAAACTGGGATCAAGCGCATCTTCATTTGGATTGGACAGAGCTTCAATCTCTCCATTGTCTTCTTTGTTGACTTGCTCCAGCATTGTAAGAGCATTGCCACCCTGCATTGGTTGAATGCAAAATAGGAAACCTTTTGAGGATTTGTAAAGAAACATCAGGTCCAATATAGGTGTATAACTTACTGATGGTGCATCCCTCTCTTCGGCTCCTTCTCTATCCATCTCTTCAGCTCCTTCTCTATCGTTTTCCGTCGTAGGCTCTCGCTGCTCCTCGGGTTGCCGAGAGTCTTCTTCAACGTCCTTTTCGAGGAATGATAGATAAACAAAGAAAATACCATGAGATTCAATTCTTAGGCGATAGCCGCTAAGCGCAACACACAAATTAGCCTCACCTTGATGTCCTCGTCGAAGAACTTCTTTCTGCGTCCAAGGGACGGTAACCAATGTGGCGATTTTCTAGAGTCTCTTTTCTTGAAGGAACTGGATCGTTTTTTGGGAGATAGTGCCGGTTCCTCTTCCATTTGCTCCAGCTTGTCTTGCATGTCTTGCAACTCTTGCAACCTTGACTTGCTTCCCTCCAGGACCTTCCTGAAAGCCGAGAGCTCTCGTCGAATTCCACTTCGAACCTTTGTTGAAAAACTTCCACCACTAGGACGGGTGCTTGGTTGTTCCTTTTCCAACTCTAGCTGCTTGGTGACGATTGTCGCCGTTTCTATCTCATTTTGCATCTCCTGTAAACTCATGGTGCAAACAACGTATTGACTAAGGATATCTTATCTTTCGTCGCATGTGAATGGGGCTTGGTTTGTTGATCTACATGTACCTCTTTATTGTTGGAAGCTCGTTGAGAAAAGAAACTGTTGGAGGGAGAAAAGGATCACTTTTTGCCAAAGTGCATGCACGACTCAATGTCACGGCTATGTCACAATCCCAGAGGCGACGAGTCAGCGATCTCGGCCTTGGTATCCCGAGAAGATGAGCGAAGAAGAGAGTGAGGGGAACCATCGATACTCTCAGCTAGCATGAGATTGGATTCAAATGGCGCACCTGATAACAATCCACAATCCTCTCGCATTGTTTATCAATGATTCGATGCTAACGTTTTAGTTGCGTGGTACCGCCGGCACCCGCTCTAGGCACCGGTACTACCGTACGAGCGACCTGGCTACGAGGCAAACAGCCACAAGTGGAGCAGATCGAAGCTTGTAATCCGTTTAGCTCGTTGTTATCTACAGTGTTGCTCGTTGCTATCTACAGTTGCTCTATTCTGGTGTTTCTACTCTGCGACTGGCTGCTGTTTTCCCTGGAAGCCACTCGTCCATCAGTCTCTATAGAAACCAATTGCCTCAAGTACTCTGTAGAATCCACAATCGGCAAGCAAACCCTGCTGCCGATACTTCGTCAGCTGTACTACGAGGTACTAGCTAGTAGCCAGCTATTTCCAAGGTATCAAAATCTAATGGAGGCTCCAGCCACCATAGAAGTTGAAGCCCACCCTCCCTGGGCCACTTGGTACCGGTGGTCCGAACAGGTTCCGACCACGGATTTCAAGCAAACGGTCAAAAACGCGACGTCAGCAGATCTTTTAGTCCAACGAGTCAAAGATCCAATGTGTCACTTTCTCCGGATCCATCATCACGCAAGATCTGGGTGCGGAGTTGCACGGCCTCCGCCGGTCCACTGATAATCACAGAAAAACATCTGCCCCAGATACTACCCAGCTCCCCTCCGATCCAGTAGCTCAATTCATCATCAAATGAAGACCTCCGCCATGTTCTCTACCGCTCTCTTTGCTGTCTCTTCTACGGCTGCCAGTGCCTTTGCACCTCGATCTGGCCTCGCTTTCAAGCATGCAGCCACCCGTGCCTATTCTCGTTCCAGCATCGCTATGATGGCTGGAAATCCCAAAGGTTCGTACCAAAAATTAATTGTATCTGGATTCATTCAATCCATGCGGCTTGTCTTGATAAAAAGTTCTGATCAACATGCTTGTTTCTTTGTTACCATACGGCAGTTTACTTTGACATGGAAGTTGGAGGAGAAGAAGTTGGACGAATCACTTTTGAACTTCGAGCTGATGTTGCTCCCAAGACCGCAGAAAACTTCAGGGCCCTCTGCACTGGAGAACAAGGATTTGGGTATCAAGGAAGTTCCTTCCATCGTGTGATTCCACAGGCAAGTGAAGTGGCAGATTTTTCTCAGTTTTGAAAAAGTTGACAACTTGCTTGGCTGACCGTCTTGGTTCATTGCTTTTTCTTTTTGCCATGGTTCTTTCAGTTCATGTGCCAAGGTTAGTTTGTTTCCTTTAATGTGTGCCTTGGTGTATCATGGCAATGACCGTTTTTGAAAGCTTTCTCACCATGTACATGTATCTGGGGCTCTGTTTGGTCTTTGCAGGAGGCGATTTTACAAATCACAATGGAACTGGTAGGTTTCTCCAAACGTTCATTGGACAGCAAATTCATGCCTTTTTTGCTCCTATGAATACAATCTCTAACATGATGATATCCAAAACACTGCTCCAGGTGGTAAATCCATTTATGGCGAGAAGTTCGAGGACGAAAACTTTGACCTGAAGCACGAGGGAAGGGGAATCCTTTCAATGGCAAATGCTGGTCCTGTATGTTTAATACCTGTCAATCACCTGTGCTGGAAATTTAACTGTATGTTGATCACTGACCCTTGCATTGCGAATTCCACCGTTTCAGGGTACCAATGGAAGCCAATTCTTTATCTGCACCGTTGATACTCCTTGGCTAGATGGACGACACGTGGTCTTTGGAAAAGTTGTTGGTATGTAACAGATTACGCGTACCTCTGATGTTTGCTTGTTTTTGGGGGATTGTAAATCTCAACTCAGGCTCAATCTTCCTTTGAAGATGGACTTGATGTCGTCGACAAGATCGAATCTGTAGGCTCACAAAGTGGAGCCACTGCAGCACCCGTTACGATCAAAGAAAGCGGAGAGATTCTTGACTAAGGCACAGCTCTCAATGAGCGAACTGCTGGTACACAGAAGCATTGTTCGTGCCAAGCCGTCTTCGCTTGGCGATAGCCTTGGTTGGGCTCGTCCAGATGATTAGCCAAGCAATAGTGCAGTAATCTAGTACCTACCGTAGCTAGCTAGTGTTAGTCTTTCTTCTCTGAAACTTCCCGGTGACTCCAGAAGACACCGACTCCGGCGAAGTTGTCGCAAATCCCAACAGGGCATCAGCTATCAACTCTAAATCTGATCCATTGGTTGCCATAAGGTCAAGCTTCCGAATTGGGACAAAAGATGGTCCAATATTGAGCATTCTGGGACATCAATCATACCATACCGGTACCCCATAAATGCTCCACCACGGCCGCCCCCGTCTTGTCGCACTTCTTTTGGGTAGACTCGGCCGTACGGTAGTTTCCTTTTCCTTGTACGACAAGCCATTGGCAAGTCACACAAGGCTTCACTCGCAGCACTGAGACTCGTATTGATTTGGAAAACACAGTCGCGGAACTTTCTTTTAGCTGGCGAAGATTCTCACAAGAAACCAATAAAGTGGCTGTCAATCTCCTTTGGAAATCGTGATTCAAACAGTGTGCTCCATCCTACAAATTGCATGTACCGGTACATTGAAGGCAGGCTATCGTACTCGTACCAATGCCTCCAACTCACTGTATCACTGAACGAACATCCGCGCTTAGCGCTCCTCATTACTGCTGTACTAGGAAGTATTGACATTGAAAACATAATGCCAAGGCTCCCAACACCATTGAGAACACTTTTTCTACGGTGCGACATTCCACTATATCATTGTCAAAAATCCTACTGAATGAAAGGATCGTCAACATTCAACCACAAGCTCAACAACCTATTTTCTTACGTGCAGATATCAAGCAATACCCAAGTATACCAAGTACTAGCTAGCTAGTAGGGCTTAAAAGTCCAGATCTTCCAGCATAAAAACTTGTTCTTCGGGAGCTCCAGCGATTTGATCAGGCTTTGAATTCTCTTTGTCCTCTTCAATCACCAAAATACCCGGAACATTGTCGAAGTCAACTTTTGAGGCTCCCCCCTTCTGCACAATGTTCCCAGTTTTGTCCAAAACGACGTAGAAAGGAACAGACTTGAACCCCAAAACCTTCTTTGCAGTTTCTTTGTCGTTTGGTGCCATAAAGTAGTGGGCAATGTGACTCCATCGTGGATCGTTATCTTTCTCAATAATCTCCCTCGCTCCATCCAACTGATCACAACAGATCGAAATGAATTTGATCTCATTATATTGAGGATCTTGAGCCAATTTGTCGAGTTTATCCAGAGCATCAGGACAGCGAGTGCATCTAGTAGTCCAAAAGTCTGAGGCGCCACGGCGCCACCAATGACGCAAACAAGTTAGAAATCAGCAGATTGCAACGAACGAAGCACCAGCCAGAATAAGCACGTACCAATAATGGTGTTTCGTCCACTGACAACATCAGTGGTAGTGTGCGCCTCAGCCGAGGTCAAGCATCGAAGAGGAAGATCAGGGAGCGCCATGGTTTGGTTAGAAAGGATACTGGTACCTGGTACCAATACACAGCAGATTGACGGCTGCGTTTGAAAGGGAGCCTTTTTCGGAGAAACTTCGACTTCGCGCCAAAAACAATTTCGCGCCTTGAATTAAAATCCGTCAGAGCTGTAAATATATCGTGTGCTGCAGTTGATCAAATCACCTTTCTCTCAGGAAGACGACGGCACCATGGTGGTACCGGGTTCGGTACAACCAACTAGCTAGAGCATCATATCGGAGTTGCGGGGAATTTGACAACTGGTACTAATGTCCTGATGAAACTTTGTCTTGTGCCTGGACCTCTGTGGAAATAGGGTCATTTCCAGTCGTGAAACGAATTTTAGTCGTGTCAACGCATGTTCAACTGCACGCATGCACGTCTCCTATTCCATGTTTAGAAATAGGAGACGAGTCCCGTCTCCTATTTGAAATAGGAGACGTCTCCTATTTTCGAAAATGAAATAGGAGATCGACTTAACAAATAGGAGGTCGACTAACAAAATAGGAGACGTCTCCTATTTTCGACATAACTCTTCTAGTGGAGACCCCTAATGCCATACCACGCGTAATCCAATGCTCCAAGCTACACTATAAAACAAGCCACACAGCACTAACAGCAGCACACTAGCTAGTAGCAAGAGGAACAATAGGATGTTGGACGACGATGCGGGTGGTGATTCTGATGGAGATATCTCTGTGGAGATTGTGTATACTGCCAAAGAGATGCTGAAAGAGGGGCTCTTGTTTGCTGGAGTTTCCAAGAAGAAGATGAGGAAGCACAAGAATGCAACCAATCGTCAAACCTTCATTGACCGATATGGGTCAAGTCCTGAAGTTGTGTGCCACATTTGGGAAGATCTTCAACTTGCTCCAGATGAGAATGATCGTGTTTTCGGCCGGAAGCTTAAGATCCTTTACTTCCTTCATGCAATGCACTTTCTCAAACGATATGAGGAAGAATCGGAACGTGCCCTCTCCACGGGTTGGAGTCGGGACACTTGCCGAGATTGGGGTTGGTATTATGTGGAGAAGATACAAGCTTTAAAGAAGGTCAAGATCGTGTGGCCGGAAAAATACAACAATTTATCTACTCCAAGGTGGGCTCTCACTGTGGAGGGCACTCATTGTTGGATATACGAACCTGGTCATCCAGAGTTTTCTATGGATTCTGAGTTCTTTTCCCACAAATACAACAAAGCAGGGGTGAATTATGAGATTGGCATTGACATGGAATCAAGCAAAGTTATTTGGCTGAATGGCCTATACAAGGCTGGAGAGAACGATCAAATCACATTCCGCAACCGAGGTTTGAGGGCAAAGATGGAAGAAATGGGTGTGGTTGGCATTGCTGACGGTGGCTACTATGCTCAAGAAGATTTCCACCTTCTCTCGACCTACAATGCAGCTGATGAGCCTCTCCTAAGAAAATTCAAAAGGAGAGCATTGCGTCGGCACGAGAAATTCAACGGCATGACGAAGACGTTTGGCTGCCTCTCGAAGAGGTTTCGCCATCCGGTGGAGAAGTTTCCTTGCTGTTTTGAGGCTGTGTCGGTGATCTGCCAGTATCAGCTTGATCACGGTCGTCCCCTCTTTAATATCCTTGTTGAGGGGATGTAGCTCGCTTAAACTATTGTCCCTAGTTTCATTTATCCGAAGCTAGTTCCGCTTTCACGTTAGCTGACAATCAACCACTGTGGATGCAACATTTTATCTAGTTATGTGACTACCAGCTCCTATCTCGTTCATCGTCATCATCATCATCTAATGAGCGTTTTTTGTTCAAATCCCCCGTACGAACGAAGTTCTTCATCGAGCCAAGCAATTCATCGGCAGCATCTTCCAATTTCTGAACAGGATCATCGTCATCGTCCATGTCATCAAGCAGCGCCTCGTCATCCGAGTCGTCTTGTTCTAGATCCATTCCTGCTGCTGTTGCTCCCTCCGCCGTAGATGTGTTTTTGCTACTGCTGCCCATCACTGCGCGTCCCAAGGAAGATAATCCTCCAATAGCAGTGCACTACGCTAAAAGCTAGTGTAAAGATCTTTCGAGTGTTTTGAGTTTGAGAGAATGAAAGTTATGAGAGGATTAGAAAATGGAGGATTAGAAAGCTATAAAAAACTAATCAACGAGGTGAAGAGGGGCGGGAGGAGTAATCAACAATCAAAGGATTGTAGATCTGATCTCCCGCGGGATACTGTAGATTGTGATAGAGTAGGTTTTGTTAGTAATCCTACGTCTTTACACGATCCTAAAACGGACGCGTGGAAGATCAGTCTAGTTTATCTGTAGCGTGGAGTACTACACGCTGGCTAAATCTCTTGCGCGATGTTTCATCATCAATCTAGTATGACTAGAGCGGTCATTGAGAATTCTGTCTCTAATGACTATTCGCGCAGGACTATGTCATGAGTCGAAATCAGACCCTCTATGATCGAGTCGCGAGTAGGTGAAGAGCGTGTATTTGCTTCGCCCCTGACAGGGTACGGGAAGGCACGCATCAGTCGGAGGAGCTCATGAATTAAGTGCAGGGGCCTCTCCGGGAGGAGTGATTGTGCGTCGTCTAGATGGCATCTACAGGGTCAGGCTTGTTGGGTGTAAATACTTATGTTCCAGTTCTGGAGGACTGTGCGCTATTGGCGTAGTTATGTCGAGCGTACGGTGCCTTGTTTTGCTCGGTCTGCGTTGTGGACCTTGTGCGGTGGCGGACCGTTTTACGGTTCTGACCGTGTCATCTGTGTCGTTGACTGGTTGTGATGAGGGACGTTTGCCGTGTTTCTCCTTATTGTGTTTTTCTGGATAAGGTGTTGGCGACGGTTCTTAATGTATTTCCGGTTTGTTTTGACACGGATGTGGTGAATATTGTCACGATTGACGCGCACGAACTTGCGACGAAGTCCATTTTCATCCCGGAGAGTCTTCTCGACCTCTACGCAGGACTCACGTTCTCTTGTCCATGACGACCGGTCAGGGATACTGGGTAACCCACGTCTTGTTCATAACGATGGTTACTACGTCTGCTGTCTTTGAGCATCCCTTGGTAGTTCATTTGTCCAATGAATCTACGAAGTTACTGCCTGTTGGTAGGAAGATCGATAGCTGGATCGCATTTGTTATCCTTTTAGTTAGGAGTTGGCTTCCTTCTAGAGAAGTCCAATTGTCTAGTTACTCAAGTTCTCCTCTTCGAGGAGACCTGGTAGTGGTGATTTCATCCCTGCTTTTTGGAGTCTTTTGGGAAAGGTCATCCTACTATCCAACGCGATCTGCGAGATAGACGTCCGTTAGGTGAGTTTGATTCATCAGTATGCGACGGACATTTCTATAGTAGCTGCTGTTTCTCTTCTTTGGAGAGATGTCGGACTATTACATAGGCCATTGGCAACCTCTTGGTACTCGTGCTTTCCCTTCGGGAGTGCCATGGTATAGTGTTGCTTCGATTGAGTTGACAGCTCGATGTGGTAGTGTCGCTTGTTCAGGTCTAGACTTGTATCGCACTTGAATCCATCCGGGTTCAAGAGCATGTCCTGTGTTTTTGGGGTAGGATAAGGGTTCCGCTTGATCCGTTTTGTTTCGGTTCCCGAAATTCCGAGATGAATCGTTCAGATCCCTCTTTCTTGGAATGATAAAAGTTGGTGCCTCCCACTTGGAACGATTCACCTTCTTGGTGCCTCCTGTCTTCGCGATAGACGTTCACCTCCTTCTTAAGAGTTTTGGTATTGACACGTGGAATAGAATAAGCCCTAGCGTGATAAGGTTTAGCATCAGGGATAATTTCTACTTCGTAGTCATCAATCTGCCACTTTCCTAAAAAACCATCGAAGGCATGGAGCTGTTCTTCTCTTCCTGTTTAACAGATCTTGACTTTGGCAAACTGCCTTAAATCAGCTTGTTCGTATTTCGACATCCAGAATCTTCTTGAGACTATCTGCACTGATCGATGAGACGCAGAATCGAAATGGAAAAAGTTCTCCTCTTCATGTTATTGTGCCTATCTTTGAGGAAATAATGCTGCAACGTCCCATTATGACATGGTAGTGAAATACGAATTGAACTAATGCAGAGAGATATTCGACCATGAATCATGTCATACGCCCCCAACTCTTGGTGACGTGTAAACCCATTCGATAATTCTATCTTCGTGGAACTTCAGAGTATCAGTGATGCCCTTCACTTCGGTCGCTGGTTTCTAATTCTTATCTGCAGGTAGTCCTTAATGCTTGGACGCCCAAGCCCATGGTAATCTTGATGAGGTTGGAGCAATAAAGTTCCGGATGCTCTCTGTATACCAGCAAGCAACAGGAGTGTACACGGGTTTGGTTTCCCTTTGTCTCTCTGTTAATCTAACATAGAACGATAGTGTTTAGGTCTCTTGTCGTGCGACGTTACGAGTGTGGTGGCCAGGACAAAGGTTAACAGATGCTAACAGATCATCAGAGTCTAGTTAGTGCAGCTTACAGCAATTATCTAATTTGCCGTAGACTTCTATAGTTGCAAAAAATTCTTGTTTACTATGTTATTGAATATCTTCTTCACTTAGTGTATGAGAAATTCGAACAAAGGGTTCCGTTGATCATCATCTTGGCCTAATCCTCAGAATAGAGATCTTCTCCATCCAAGATTGAAGTCTAATTCGGCAAACGCCTTGTCAACAGCAGCAATCTTCTTATCCATCATGTTTATGGATCCAACAGAGGATTCTTCCTCGTTGTCGGAGTTGTAGGACTTGCCTTGGACATTTGCCCCCATGGTGTTGCTTCGCTTTTCTTCTTGCGATCTGCCTTGACCGCTGCGTTGGAGTCTTTCTTCATGAGGACATGGAGTTCCTTCTTGGTGTAGGTTTTGGCGTAGTCGGCTTGCGTTTCCAAGGTTTGTTCTTGTTGTACGTTGTCTTGTTTTGTCGTTGTCAGACGAGGTCTGTGACTTGGCCTTGAGTTTTTTCAGAGTCATGCAGTCAGCGGTGTTGTGAGTGCTTGACTCGTTGTAGTCGCACCCCTTTTCTTCGTTCTTGGAAGAGGTGTCGTTGTTACGAGTAGCTTGTACTTTTGTTGTTGTTCTTCTTTGTAGGAGCTTGCTTGTCATCACCACCCTTGTCAAAGTCTTCGGAGGATTCCATGCGTTCGACGAATCCAATGGTTTCTCCGATGGGAGCTGAGAAAGGATCGAGTGTGTTCTTCCATTTTCTTCATCCACGCGCGTGGAATTCCATTACAAACAATTTCAATGACTTCTTCATGGTTCAACTTTTGGTTGTGTCCAAAAGTTGGTAGACTAGGAAGTTCATCGGCATTCCTTCGACTGAGGTTGTTGACATAAGCCCGATTGGACATATCAGCAGGCTTGCTCATCTTGCGGCGCATGAAATTTTTCTGCTTTTCAAGAGCTTTGTATGGACAGACCGCTTCGATATAGGCATTTATGCCAAACGAAATGTCAGCATCGTCCAAAGAAGGCTGGCTGCTCTGTTCCAGGCAGACTGGAAATGTGCTTGGGAAGTGGCTTCGTCTTCACCTCCACGTATGTCTCGTGGAGGAATCGTGTTGTCTGCAATCTGGCGCAAGGGATTCCAACGTATTTCACGTTTGCCTGCACAGCTAGATTCATAACTGCTCTTTGCAGAGATAGAAGTCATCTACTTGAGTAGGTTATGTTTATCGTCAGTCGTAGCAATGGCAAGCCCAACGAAGACCCTCTCCATACGTCCAGCCCACTTTATGATCTGACGTGGAGTCTCAGACTCATTGATGTTTGGACTTGAAGGTGACTTACGGTTGGCTCTGTTTGCATCTGGAGGAATGGTGCGAAGTTTTTAGGTGGTAGAGCGAGAATAGTGGATTTCGCATTCATCATCGAGGCCGATGAGAGGAAGGATTGATTTGTCACGCAGCTTAGACTCGAAGCTTGGGTGTTGCGTCGTTTGGCAATATTCATGGTGAGGATAGGTTGACATGAGGGTAGCTGAAGCTATTGTGTTTGTTAACAAAATGCCATACGCTAAAAGTGCTGTAAAGATCTTTTCGAGTGTTTTGAGTTGAGGAATGAAGTTATGAGAGGATTAGAAATCTATGAAATCTAATCAACGAGAGAGATCCCAATCAAAGGATCGTAGAACTAAACTCCCGCGGGAGAATGTAAAGTGTGATAGAGTAGGTCTGCGGTGCAAATCTGGCTCCACGATCAACAAACGGAACGCGTGGAGATTCGTCTAGCATTTAACTAGTAGAGTGGAATCTCTACACGCCAGATAAATATCTAGAGCGATGTTTTCTCATCAACATGTATGACTTTGCGGTCATTGGAGATTCTTGTCTCAATGGACTATTTCGCTCCAGACCCTATCTAGGATCGAGTCGCGAATAAGGCTGAGAGCCGTGTATTGCAGCAGAGCTGTAGTTGAAGCCAGAGAAAGCAGCTCCTGCTGGTGCCGGTGCTGGCAATGTCGGCGGCACATTGCTGCCACCACTAGCTGTTGCCGCTGCTGGCAATGTCGGCACATTGCTGCCAGCACTAGCTGTTGCATTGGAACTGGTGGCCGCCACCGTCGTTGTAATCATTACTGGCTCCAAGTGCATCTTCTTCCTAGGTCTTTCCTCATCACTATTTTCCTCTGCACTGCTTGTCTCCTCATCATCTCTTGCTCTCCTTTTGCCACCACCGCCATTGTCATCGTCCCCACGGTCGTTGTCGTGGGAGTCAGGGTCAGTCCGTGTCTGAATCGAATGCGGGATTCGGCAAACTGTATCCTGATGCCGCTTCAAACCCCAGTCGGTCTTGCACGTTTTTAAGCAGTACGGGCACTTGAATTTGACCATCGTGCGTGTTTATTTTGTGCAACTGGAAAAGATTTGAGGGGTGGCCAAAGTTTTTGCCTTGGATAAAGCGCAGAATGCGGTCAGGTCCAAGGGGCATAAGGAAAATGAATGCCGATTGCGAAAACTGTTTATAGCTTGGTGCACAAAGAATGTGCCCATTTGCATGTTGAAGCAGGCGCACCCACAAGAATCTTGTTCAGTAGTAAAGAATGTTCTGTTCTCCATGCACTTTCGTTAAGCATATGCGTAAACACTAGTTGTAGCCTTGCTTATTATGACGCAATGTACCGTACGAATCTATAGGCAACATCAAGATCATTTGACGCAAAGCTGAGTTAATAGTAGGCACCTGCATCGGACTGTAGAGGCTCTTGCACAAGACCATCACGCACAAGCACACTGGTAAATTGGGTGGCTAAAATGCGCTTCTTAGATGATATCTACTCGAAGTGATACAAACAAGAAGCAACATGGTGATTAGTTGTTGTTATTCAACTACACGACAAGCGGAGCACGCAAAAAAAACATCCAAATTCCTAATTACCGTCAAGCCCCTCGAGCCCAAGTTCTTTGAGCTGCTGAGCAACAGCATCCAATTTCTTGGCTTCTTCCTCTCGCTTTCCCTTCTTGCGAGAGTCTTTGTCAGTGCGGACAACTATCCAGCGAGCAAAGAAGTCAGTACCATTTGATTTCGACTTCGCATGCACCCACTCCACCTTGATGACATCCATGCCAACCAACTCATCTTCTCCAGCATCCGGATAGACGGCCTTGGACGACAATTTGTAACCCTCAAATTGCATGTGATAGGTGCAGAAGAAGCGGTTTTCTTCGTCGTTGGCAAACTTATCATGCACATCGTCAATCGCTTCCGTGAAGTTATCCTGTAGTTTCGAATTTGCGACGAAGCTGTCTCGACACTTAAGCAAGCTGTAGTCCCAGGCAGGCACAGTCAACTGCACCGTGTCAGTTGTCAGCAACCGACCTTTGTAGAGAGGCTTCAAAGGGGTATTGATGTTGAAGCGAACGTCAAATTTGAAGAAAATAAAATACCCATAAAACATTCGACCTTTCTTGTCGCCGCAACCTTCGACAGTTTGGCCGACATCCAAAACAGTGAAAGGCCCGTTTCGCTCTGGCAAGTTGACATTTGCCTTGAAGACAACTGGAAAGTGAAGCAAAAAATCGAGTGAGAGGATGGAGCCAATGAGCCAAAGCATCCTCCTCAGAGCAACACTTACTCGGCCCCGTGGCTGGATTATGGAATGTCGTTATGGCTTCAGGCGGTTGGGCTTCAGGTGGTTGGGTGAAGCTACTAGGTCGATCCTCAGGAATGGGTGATGGTTTCTTGTTTCCTGCTTTCTTGGTGGCGACAGGCGTTTTCTTTCCTTTTGGAGTCGGAGCTTTCTTTTTGCTTTTCGGTGTTTTGGAAATGGGAGCGCTCATCTCAACAGCACCTGTCGATATCACACTTGGAATTGGTGGTGCCTTGTTCTGTTCCTCTTCTTCCGAAGACAAACTACTGCCACTGCTCCCTGATGATGATGATGAATCAGGGTGCTCGTCGATTTTCAACTTGAGCAGCACTTTCAATTTCTGCAATACACGGCTCTTAGCCTTATTCGCGACTCGATCCTAGATAGGGTTTGAGTTCGACTCATGGTCAGAGTACTTCGTCAGTAAGGAGTGAAGCTGTTTCTTCCTTCCGTGTTTAACTGATCTTGACTTTGGCAAAGCTGCCTTAAGTCAGCTTGTTCGTATTTTCGCATCAAGAATCTTCTTGAGACGATCTGCACTGTAATCGATAGCGGCAGGATCAAGAATGAAAAAGTTTTCTTCTTTATTGGTGTCGCTATCTTCATAGGAATAGATGCGCCGTCCCATTTCACTGACATGGTAGTGAAATCGAAATTGAAACCTAAGTCAGAGAGAATATCTCGACCAATGATCATGTCATACGCCCCCAAGCTCTTTGGTGACGTGTAAGTCCCACTGGATAATTCTATCTTCGTGGAATTCAGGTATCATGAATGCACCTTTGCACTTCGTGCTGGTTTTTAATTCTACTGCAGGGGTAGTCCACATCGTTTGGACGCCCCCAAGATCCTCATGCGTAATTTCTTAGCATGAGGTTGGAGCAATCAAAGTTCCGGATGCTCCTGTATCCAGCAAGCAACGGAAGTGTAACGGGTTTGGTTTCCCTTTTTCTCTCTTGTTAAATCTAACATAAACGATGGTTTGAGGTCTCTTGTCTTGCGACGTTTACGAGGTGGTTGGCCACGGACGAGGTTAACGATGCTAATAGATCATCAGAGTCTAGTTGTGCAGCTTCTATGCAATCATCTAATTTGCCGTAGAGTTCATAGTTGCAAACAATTCTTGTTTACTAGTTAGTGAATATCTTCATCACTTGTGTATGAAGAATTCGGAACAGGGTTCCGTTGAGTCATCATCTTGGCCTAATCCTCAGATAGAGATTTCTCCATCCAGTGATTGAAATTGATAGAGGAGTTGTCATCATTGTCAGAGTCTTCTGATTTGCGCTTGGCAACATGTTGCGAAGTTTGCAAGTGGTGTACGAGTATCGTCGATCTCGATGTTCTTAGTCATTTGCGACGAAAGGAAGAATGGTTTGTCACGCAACAGTTTCTCAAAGTTGCGGAATCGCATGCTCTTGAGTCATCTTCATGTGAAGGAATAGGTTTAGAGGTAGCTGAAAGCTATTAGTGTTTGTTAACAAATTGACTACGCTAAAAGCTGTTAAAGATCTTTCGATTTTTGAGTTTGAAGAGAAAGAAAGTTATGAGATGGTTAGATAAGCTATTAAAACTATCAACGAGAGGGATCATGCATCAAGGGATCGTAAGATCTGGCTTCCCGCGGGAGACTATAAAGTGTATAGAAGGTTAGAGGTTTGTTGGTAGATAGTCCTACGTTCTCCACGATCTAAAAACGGAACGCATGGAAGGTTTGTCTAGCCTGGATTCTAGTTGCGTGAAGTACTATCCACGCGGCTAAATATCTAGAGCGATGTGTTCATCATCAACCTAGTTAGACTTGGCGGTCTATGAGAACCTGTCTCAAATGACTATTCACGACGAGAGACTCAGTCATGA